CATGAATAAAAAGAGACACTTTCGGAGGCACTTAAGTACGTACTTCCAATTGTAAAATTAATCATAAAAAAATTAAGTGACAATTCGGATGTGCATTCTCATAAAGAAGAGACTGTGGGTAATGATACTACGTGCAAAAATGTTTCACTTACTCACGCCGAGAGTATATTTCAAAATATCATTTAATAATTTCGTATTAGGTTTAAGGACTTGCAAGTAAATAGACTGTGTAAAGAATAAAATAAGCTCGTTTTGTAAAATAATGTTTTTTAATATTGTAACAAAAAATAAAGTGTTTAAGAATAAGCTTCTAAAAGTTTTATTGAAAGAGGCTTATTGCAAATATGCAATTAAAGTCAAAAGACCGAAAATTGTATTTCAAAGATTTTCCCTTAATTGAGATGTCGAATTCCAAACATAGTCAAGTAAATCGATGGAGAGAGAGCTTTTCACGGTTTCAATATTCTGCAAAATTTACCGTCTCTGAGCTATGTTAGAACATTTTACGTAAGTGCTGACTTCGTTATTAATTTCCCAGACAGCTGACTGGCTTGACTGATATGATCGATAAACACGATGAAAGAAAGTCCATCAATATAGCGTAGAGAATTATCGAGAAACGATTTTAATATTCTAATAACATTATTTCACTACAAATTTCATCATTCGATACTGATTGAATCATTCTAACGGTATAACCACATATTCAATATATTATCTTTTGCATATCGTAATAATATTCTTTAATTGTTTTAATAGTATTTTATCATTGTCATATTTTTAAATTAAATAAATATCCGTAACTTTATTTACACAAAATATATTTATTAATTTTCATTTCCTGATATTAATCATCTTTTTAAAATTCCACATAGTTCTGATCAAGATTCCAAATTTAATTTTTAATTCGTGTCCATAGAAGAAAATGTTTGGGATAAACATTTGGGATTATCTTTTCTTTATATTAGAAAAAAATGAATAAATGCATTTTTCCTTAAACGAAAAATACTGGGATAAATTTTCAGTCTGTTCCTGTAACTTCATAAATTTCATATAAGTAGATTACATACTTTATTTGTGATATTCTACGATCAATAGATAGAATAAACATGACCTCGACAAAACTGGATAATTCAGACTATAATCTAACTGTGTTGAAGATAATAAAAGTTCCGTAACATTCTACTTTTTCCTTGATGTGAATTTATCGAATTCATTAGAATACGTACGGGAGAGAATGTGTGATAATTTATTGACTTCCGCTCGGCTGTTAGTCTAATATAAAAACATTATTGCATCTATAATTGGTTTCGTTCAGTGATTTTATTTATAGATAAAATAATGCATGTTCAATATTTACACTTTATCTTATGCTGTCAGGAATTTAAAAAGAAGGTTTAAAATGTTCTCTCTCTCTCTCTCTCTCTCTCTCTCTCTCTCTCTTTCATTATCTGATAACAGTTAGTGCTTTTCAACAAGGACACAGTCAGACACTGTGTAACACAGTGAATCATTACATCCTTGTGTTTGCCTACATTAAACAAGCATGAAATGACTCACTGTGTTACACAGTGTCTGACTGTGTTCTTGCTGGAAAGCACCCAGTATCATGTTGTAAATCATAAGTGTTAATGCTTTTTTAATGAATACATTTTTCACGATCCAAATTCAAGTTACAGACAAATTAGAAATATTATTATTTCAAGATATACATAATATTTCTTCAAAGCTTTTATTTTAATACTTATACCTTCTAATGCTTTTATATATTAGTTATGTTAAATGTTATGCTTAAATGTTATTCCTATATATATTGAATATATTATATCATTTGAAAATAGACACTTTTTATTAAAAAAATTAATTTATAATGATATTAGTATATATAAATTAATTTGTATACAGACATTATAAATCTTCGAATTCTTTCAAAAACATATAAATAACTTTAAAGAATACAATCCAAATACAACAAGACTGTAATAAAATTAAGAAAATGTAGCAAAATAAAAAATTTACGCATGTTCAGAAATTAGTTAAATATATCTTTCGTGATTATTATTCGTCTACATATCGCAAATAAACAAACGATTAATTTTGATAGTTTGTACATGCGTACATACATATACATTTTGTTAGTGTATGTGAATATGTACATGTGAATATTAAATTTTAAGGCCGTAGAATCCATGCATGACGTATAATAGAAATCGTTTTTTCGGTAATTCGTATGCGGAATTCGTTCGGGAACGCGTTTGCCATGCAGGTTGCCGATTTGCATAGAACGGATATTCGCGAGCGTTCGTGCTTGGAAGCGCCGAATTTGCAAATCTCTCCACGCGTCGAACTTCAGATCCAAAAGGAGCTTTTTGCTCTGTCAATTCTACAGGTTACCTCTCGCAACTCGCAAGTTTCACAGAGTTTCATAGTCGGTGTCGTTCGACGATCGATACTTGAAGGGAGACAAATGGAACATAGATGAACACGCGAACCCGTGTGTAGAGAAAAGTTCTCTGCTTGCGGGAACGCGAAGAAATCAGTATTCTTGGAGGCATTTACAACGGAATTTCAGTATCGTGTAGGAGACTCGTTTATTTCTTTTTTCGTTTTTTTTTTTTAATTTTTTAAATCGTCGAAAACGTTAACGTGTTCGCGTAGAATTTGCACGACGATTGATCAGGTTGTCCACAGATGTCCTAAGAATGCAAATCAAGAGCTAACACTTACGTAGTAATGCGTAACGTCAATAAATACTTTGTTTAACAGAGTTGTTACTTCTCTCTTAAGTATATTGATAATTTTATTTTTTAGATATTGAAAGGAGATGGTTTCACGTTTGTTTCGGTAGATCCACGTCAATCGTTACAGCAAGCAGGGACAAGAGGGTAAATATCAAAGTTCAAGGGGAGATCGCATCGGAGTAAGGATAAAGTACGTTGGCGTTAAGATCTTAGTGCCTCTCCCCTGAGAAAAGCCGTGAGGCAGATGAATAAAGGCGAAAGGGGACAAATGACGGATAGAGAAAGCTACAAGCCCATCTATCGAGTCAATGCATAGGCAACTACTAGAAGAACAATGAGTCCTAAATACCACCGACTCTACCTCGACGTTGATCGCTAGTCGTTCACGTCCCTTTTCTCTTTCCCGTTCTTCGATATTTTCCGCTGATAATTCTGCAGTTTGCTACAAAATTGAGATAAATCGTTTTTTCAACGATAGCGATTCGATAGCGATTTAAGAATATCGTTACACATTATGTAGACAAATTTTATTCCATACACAGTACACATATTCAAAAAATTTCAAATATTCCCTTAGAATAGACCGAGGATATTGCATTAAAGAATCAATATCTACAGTGAAAAAGCGGCAAGCAACACAGTCAAGAATCATTTTGTCATAAATTGTGGTAACATCAATATCATTTAGTATAAAGTATCGATTTCATTTTTACCCTGAATTTTATTATACGTGGTTTCTCTTTAAGGTGATTTTTTAGTAAGCGCCGAAAATTTGGGGTGCCTCTCACCAGAGCCCACTCAAAATTACAAATATCTGCATAATTTGAATAAAATATTAAAACTACGTGTATATCTTAATGAAATAGTGTGGAACATACGATAGTGAATCAAGAGCTGCATCTTCATCAAACGAAAAAAAGAGATTATGTTTACTTTTCGAAATTAAATTTACATACGGCAAGTTTATACATACGGCAAGTAAATATTTTTTCAGAATGGCCATTGACCTATTATTTTTTTGTGATTATTAAAATCGTAATTTTTGAAACTATTATAATCTCGTTTTTAAGAAAAATCTATGGTAAGATTTGTGTGCAGTTAATCAAAGAAGCGTCTGCAAGCCTTATCTGTCATTAAATTATACATGAAAGTTTATATTTTCAACATTTTTTTCTTTTTTATGTCATCATAACCGTAGAATTTTGCACACGCCAATTTCAGCTTCATTAAATAAAACTTCAACTTCATTAAATAAAAAAAATTAGACATTTCTATGGTAACTCGATACTAAAGAACCACCTTAATTGTTAAACTATAAACCTTTCTGAGCGAATACAAACATGTCATGAATCTCTCATTATTTTACAAGACTTAGATGTGCTTTGCAATTTTCTATATAATGAATATTGATTAATGTGACCATATTTGCTTAAGATTTAATAGCAATTTGTTTTGATTCGGACGTATTTGCCCTTTTTATTTCGAATATTTGAGTACCAAAAATTATTGATAAGAATTTCCCTCCCCTGTTGCCGTATAATTAAACACAATATACGGCGAAACATCCTCTTTTGTTTCATTAGCTATGTTAACTGCGAAATGGAATCGGGAACAGAATGATGGAAGATAGAGAATATTACCCCAGTAACATACTTGTTCTCATTATTATATTTTATCTTGCTGCATCTCTCTCTTTCTTTCTTTTTATGTATATTATTAAATTAAATAATTATAATTCTAAATTGGACTAATTGGAAGATAAATTTAATTAAATAAGGGAAATCTTATTATTGATCAAAGGGCTGATCAGAAAGCAATATTCATAGTCCATTCTTATTTTAAAATCGTCTTAAGTAATGTCTTAAAATGCTAATATGGCTCTCTGATTGTTCAATAAACATCTTAAAACATTTTAAGATTAGATTTAAGACGGTCCTAAATATAAGAATCGACTATAAATACCGCTCTTAATACTTAAATTATTTCGGAGTAAATTTATTGTATAATACATATCCAATTCTACAAACCGCATACTAAACTCTTTTTCTTAAAATGCAACGGAACTAGAGTAGTAATATCATGTATTAAATTGATTTTATTAATTTAATAATATTGACGTTAATATGTAAAAAAAATATGTTTAATGAAAAATTCTGTTATAATTGTTAAAATTAATAAGAAAATGTTGTGTACATTATGAAACGTACACAAAAATTATGATATAAAAAAACGTATCGAGCAACGTATATGTCATCATACCTCGTTTCGTAGATGTGGCAGTCGGCATCGATGTGAGCTGCGATGGGATGCCGGCCCTATCAGTGGCAGTGATAGCCCACAGCCGAGTCTCGTGCCCTTTCGTGGACCTCGTCGTCGTCGTCGTCGTCTTCAGGACGAGCCACTAACCTGGTAGTCATCTCCACCACGACGACGGCCAATCGGTCATCGTCTATCGAGACACGTACACTCTAAAAGCATAATAGAATTTTTCCTCAAAATATAAATACAGTGACAAATAACAATGACTAAAGAACATGGCAATATATAAGATTATTTAATATAAACACGAGAATTATTGTATAATTGTTTGTGAAATTGACAACTCTCTTCAAAAATTGTGAAATGAAAACTAATATAAATAAACGTAGTTGTTACTGCAATATTTATATAAAAATGCAGCTATTGGTCTGTTTTTTGTTCCTGCACTAGAACTCTCTTTCTCACTTTCGACAAATATCATATTCGACATATATCTATCTCACTTTAAGTTCCAAAAATGTACACTGATTGAGCCACAGAAAATAGACCTTATGATTGATAATCCATGGCTATAACTTTCTTTTTATAGTCAATATGATTGAGCTGTTGCCTATCTACAATAGAGAATTGGACTGCGATTGATGTGAAAACTCACAGATGTTACATTAATTATTTTCTAAACATTATCAAAGAACAGTTTCATATATTTAAAAATTTATTCAAGCTCAAATGCACTTTTCTATAATAAAAAATATTACTTTTATAAGACTGTTTTTAACATCAGTTATATTTGAAAAATTTGTTTTATCACTGTAAACTTAATTATAAGTTCCTGTGATGTAAAAAGCACGTTTCTTTGATTAAAGATGGATTACGCAAGATTAACCTATTTAGTGTATATATAAAATAAGTTATAATTTATTTTATTGTGTCAAACTTTAAATTCAACGCCTACAACAGCGGAAATTATCGACGAACGTGAAAAGGTTTTTACCGCGACGGGAACAAAAGTTCGTTTTACTAATGCTTGAAGCGTTAAACCTTAATGACAATTTCTTGTTCACTTATGAAGTTAGAATCAACTTTTTACTATTCGTAAAGTTAAAATAGCCGTTCACAAGATGCTTCGGTATCCTCTTAGCAGAATATTTTAATTAATAAAATCTTTTATTATAAAATATTATATTCCTTTAACAATTCTGATATCATAATTGTGTTTGTTTTATAATTGTTTAAATATCAGCAAATAAGATAGTTTTAATTTTAAAGACTTAAAAATACATGAATTTTCTCTATATTTTATTTTAAATACGATATTCTAAATTAATTTCAAATTAATATTATTTCTGTAACAATTTTCTAATATAATTATAAAATTAAACGATCTAAAATAAACTTTCTAAAATAATACTTTCTTTTTAAATGGATATGTGATTATATGTGTCAAAATGACGTCAATGTGATTGTCGTTACCTCTTTTTTTCTAATTCAAAACATCAACGTGAAATATATATCTAAAGATTTAATCCTACGAAATAGGTGCGATAGCTCAGTAACCTCGAATGGTGGCACGGCAGAAATGGTATCGAAAATTTTCGTATCGCGGCAGAAATTGCATTCCTCCCTCCTCCCATCTGTGATCTTGCACGGCCATTTCAATTTCGCGGGTATTCCCACTCCGGGAGATACGATCGATTGACGCGTCATAGAAAAATAGCAGCGTGCAATTTACAAATTTTTCGTTTGTGCCTATGCATATTTGACATTTTATGACTGTGCTATTTAATTGACATATTATGCCTTTTAAGACATACGTTAAAGGTATATCTACTAAAATTCAAAATTTTTTTAACAAAACTAAGTATAAATATATAATATTCCTCCTCTTCATTACAGTCTTCTACATATTAAAGAATTAAGATCTTGCGTACGTATAAAAAGGATTTAAATAATATTTGATGTCTTTCTGTTATCCACATTGCAGAAAAATTAATCCTTAATTACACATAGATAATTATATGTTATTATTTATAATAAAAATTAGCTTATAAATAATTACCTTTATATTTCTGACGTGTTACAGCATTAAACCATAAATAATTATTATTTGTTATTTCTTTCGTGCATAATCCTTTCTTAAGAGATTTTTTCTCTGTGATAGCGTTATAACGATCGCTCTATAGCAAAACATGCAACTATGTACCACAAATTTGCATACACTAACGGAGTTCCGTAGAACTAGTGCATAGATCTACAGATATTACAAATTGATATGCTTGATAGCTGTATATCTGTGTTCACAGTGACAAGATGACGGTGTAATAATGATAATGGATGGATAATGCGCTGCCACAAATATTAAAACTTGTCTAGCTTCATAAACCGACACGATTGAAATCGTGTGTGAAGCCTCAATTCCATTATATGAATCGAAAAACTCTCCAGATAGAGATTAATATTCAATTATGTATCAACGATGGTTTTTTAGAAAGCACTTTATCTATCAAATGAGTTTTTTAGTCATTTCGACGAAGAGCGTGAGATTAAAAAGGAGAAAAAAAAGAAAAAAGCATAAATTATTTGATCAATTTAAGAAAATTGAGAAAAAATAAATTTTTCTTCGATACAGAAAATTTGTAATTATTTATGATTTATTTGATTTTTATTCGTAATATAATATTCAATGTATTATTTTAATTATTTTGAGTAATAATAAACTATCAGATATAAAATTTCTGTCATGTTCAGTTAAATTTAATTAAAAAATTATATTTGGCTATTGTTTGTCCATGTTTGATTATCTAATATCTTTTAATTTTTGATATTCCGTAATAAGGTAAATGTGATGCTTTTTAATTTATTTTCTAGTATCCATCGTGATTGAAAGAATACTCTTCTGATAAAGCACGCGCCTATGTATATTTGCACGTGTAGTTTTTGTTTTTATGTTTATTTAATCATTTTTTCAGTTTATTTAATCATTGTTATTTAATCATGTTTATTTAATTATTTTTCAGTTTGTCATTCCATGAATTCGTTGAAATTTGTATGTATGTATAATTTTACGTAAATTTCACATCGATCTTCTCGCCAATTACTCAATTACTAATAAGCGATATGTCACTACATCAGATATATCTCTCGCATGTCATTAGTAAGATCTGTAGAGGGAAGTATAGATGTATGGAGTAGTGTGGAAGTTATCGAGAGGATAGTCCCATCAAATCACTATCGTCGGTTTTGCCTTGAGAGAGAAGTTACCACGTTACTTTACCATTTTCTCTCATACGATAAAGTGATTGATACCATTATATTGAACACAAACGAGTGAAGAGATTCGATCGAAGCGGGAAAAAAATCATATAAAAATATTGGGAAGTACCTTCCATTTAGTAACAAGTTAACACAAAATGTCGTTCTATCTTTTTTTGAATTCTATGAAAGATAGAATGATACTTGTGTCACTAAATGAAAAGCACTCATTATTAGATACCAAGATTCGACTTGGCCGAATATAATTTTCTTCATACATTTATTTTGAATATTTCTCGGTTCATTTTTATTTAACGTTGTTCATTATATTATATCATCTATAAAAAGTTATGTATCTACAAAGAATCTACAATAATTAAAAATCTAAAAATTAGTTATTGGAACATTGAAAAATCATTAAAGTAATCAAATATTTATATTGCATTTAAAAAAGTTCTATTTTTCGATGTAACAGAATTGGAATTAACTAATGAGATATGACGAGACGTTAATTATCTCGATATTACGAAACTAAAAATAAATTATAATATTTTGTGCAGATAGATTTATATTAAATCTTTCTAACTAATAAATTCTTGCGATCCCACAATAAATTCCAATAATCTGTTTCCAATAAGTATGAAAGTAGACCATTATCGACGTATTTTTAATAGGCGTAAAAGAAATTTATTTAGCGAAAAATGCATATATGGTTTCATCAGAATAAATAATGTTTCTTACAAGGTAGACATATTAGTTCCCTGAACTTCCTTTTAAAAGCAAATGAAGGAAGTATTGCCAATAATACGTTAAGAGAGAACTATTGTTGTCTTTTCAGTTATTTTTAGTGAGAGATAAAAACATTTATTTTAAAACATCACGAGGCGACTAGATACTAGACTGCTAGGAATATGAGCTTATTGTACGGTTATTGGATAAAAATGAGTAGGAGCTCGATCGAAAGAAAAATCCTGGGAACTGCTGTAAGATAGAACTGCGCGGCGTATCGTAATATTTGTTGTGAAAGAAACTTTTGTCCAGAAAAATTGAGATTTCTGAAAATATCTCATTTAATCATTATTGTGAATATTAGATGTATATATATATATATATATCTTCTCTTATTTTGTAATAACATTAGTTTATTAAATAAGTCTTTGCTGCTATAGTAAAAGTAAAAGCCTTCTAAATGAAATAATGTTCATTTTACTTGAAATTAATATTAAATTTATTAATAATAAGAATTTTATAGAAAGATCACTAGGCAAATTATTCGTCTACCTGCACACAAACAAAATGAATTTTAAATGAAATTTACTTTAAAGATAAATATAGAAGATATTTTGCGGACGTTTTTTTATCAGTTTTTTTCTTATTTAGAACGTACCTTTGTCCTCACGATGTTTTGCTAGATTGTTTCATCCTTCGATGGTACCGTTTGATACCGATTTGTACAGCTGATCCAATACGATGTTCGCAAGTACCTGGCACGAAATGGAGACAATTGAAGCAATTTGAAGAGACACTCAGCCGCAGGTACCACCGCACGAAAGATATCTTTGAGTTCCCCGTGTTTTTTCCTCTTCTATGCAATCACACATACACGCACACACACGCACACACATACACACACACGCACCCAATGCCTAGCCTCGTCTTTCAGGAAACGGTACCGTACCAAGGGCATAAAGTTGTACCGCCCAATCTTTTCGAGGCTCTACTACCACAAATTTCTTTCCACGTCGTTAGGGTCACGTACATGCTACAGAAAATATCAGGGATCGACTCCAACTCGAAATAATCTCCTGCGATGACATTAGCAAAAGGCGCGAGTCTTCCTTCGAATCATGTCTTGAGAACATTGATATTCCGGTAGTGACGTCAACGATACGCGGTAATTCTCTTTGCCGAAGTCATGTCGCGAACGTAATCTCTCATAATACGTAACTTAAACAGAAGTACGATGACGTCCCGTTTGGCTCCACCGGACTCATGTCGAGATTCCCCTTGGAGACGGTTAAGTCAACAGATTCGAGCCTCGCGATCGACCGACCCCACCATCCTTGCGGGTATCCATATCCCCACAATTTCTCCCCGTCATTTCGTCCTTTTCTTCGATAGTTTTCCGTCGAGTTCGTCGTATCTGCGGTACCAGAATCATGCTTCCATCCTCTACGTGTTCATCGGTTCCCGTTTTATTACTTTCCTTTCTCGCGCGCGCAGACACTCGGCAAGTGACTTGAACTAAGATCAGCTCTTGGACACATCTTTAGTCGAAGACAAATGTATGTCTCTCATGCTTTCGATGTCAGTTAGCACGAGTCTTCGAGTGTTTGCTGCGAAATATCAATACTCTTGACAACGAAACGCGCGAAACTGGAAGAAAAGTCGGAGCTGAAAGCAGAATCTCGCCGTTTGATCGCGTTCAATACTTGTCACTTTGAAATCACTTTATAGTTCACGCCGTCTTGCACAGCACTCATTTTTACTCAATATTTTTATTTTGTGTCATCACACATCTTGTTTCCGAAAACAAGAGAAAATACTAGAGTTAGAGAATGTTAGGATCATTTTTAAATTATAAAAGATTCATCTTTTGTCATTTATTTAATCAATATTTTGTTATTTGAAGAAAAAATGGAGGAAAAATAAAGGAAGAGCAATGTAATGTGTTGAAAAAGAAGTGAGAGAAATAAGAAAAGATGAGTGCATGCCTATTGATTTTATCATTGCGAAAAATGTTTTATTATTTGATAGCATTAAAGAGCACTTTAAGGAATCTCTTCGCCCATTACAGCTAGGAAATTTCTAATAAATTTCCTAGTTTTCTCCTCCTTATTGCAGCAACTCTGCAACGACCTACGGTCCATGAATTACTGATGCGTTTGCATATCGACGTGCGCGAAACGCTAAAACGAAACGTGTATTTTTGGAAGCGCCTGCTATGCAGGGCAATGCTTGCAGAATTCTACACAATGAAATACTTAAGTGTGAGTCATTGTATAGCACTTCGTAAAAATACCATAACTATTCAAATTTCCATTATACTTTTCTTCTAAAGGATATCTCTTCGATATCTCGATATCTTTCCATTTCTTGAAATATATCTAGTGTATAGAGTTCAGTTGTCCGTAAAAAGTAAACATCCTTGACGTAAATATGTATAGTTAAAAGAAGCAGCAATTGATATCCTCTTATATAATATGTAGATTTTTGTAATACATATTCCTCTAGTTAAGAATGTATAATTACATATGTACAGATTGTTTTTCTCTACGTTGAACTCGTAATAACAATAAAATTAGAGTTAATTGAGATCTTTTATTTTTATAATAGAAATGTATGGACATTTCTTTATGATGTGAAAATTTATGCTTTGATCAGAAAAGCTGCTGAAAGCAACTGTTACAATTTTTGCATAACAAACAGCTGGCGAAGTCTTCCTATCAGTCCCAGCTGTCGAGTTGAAATAAACGTATACATTCACACGTTTTTTGACAGATGAAAAAGGAAGATGTCCATCAAAGAAGATGTCCAAAAAAGAAAAAGATCTGCAGATATATAAAGGCATAAATGCTTAATTGAATTGTTTTATAACATGGCTATTTATACGGATTATCGGGATGTGTATGTGCTACGATGAGACATCCACTTACGCGTACATGTTCAATATGAGTACTACAGTGCAACAATGAGGAAAACAAAGTGGGCATGTTAAACGAAAATAATACGAATAATTTTTTCACTGAGAGTTTCATATAATCCCTCATTTTTATAACGTCATATAAAAATGTAAAAAAATTTTAGATGGCTAAAGAATCCTTAACATATTGTAGTATAGTGCATTTAATGAAGAGAAGAAAGTGGGGATATTATTCATAATTTTTACTCTTTTTTTTCTCTTGTTTTTTTGTCTTGGTGTTAGTAATTTATGTTCATTTAAGAGTCAACCCGTCATTCTTTTCTTCTCTTCGTCTTTTTATATCTTTCTCGATCATTATTATTCACAGATTTCATGATCAACGTTTTGTCATGGAATCTTTCTTCTAGATTACACGAAGAAATAAATAGATTTTCTTTTTTCTTGCTCTATATTTTTCACTACGTTGCTTTCTTTGAATGATTTTTTTTTAATTTCAAAATTTTGTTTTACGAAACAAAATTACCAACGATGCACTTTAAAAGATATATTCGCATCTCGCGTTATATCTGGAGAGAAAATACAAATATGCCATTTACATTTGAGATTCTCCAATCTTTTAGAGAAATTACCAATGCTCTCTCTCTCTCTCTCTCCCTCTCCCTCCTCTCCTTCTTCTCTCTCCCTCTCTCTCTCCCTCTCTCTCCTTTTGATCTCTCTTCTTTCAAATGTCACTTTTCTTTTCACCCTATTTTTTCACGCGTCTCTTCCTACTTCAATATTGCTCCTACTCAATAAATTTTACTCACTACCCCTCGCAATCTCTCGTTTTCAATTTTGATTTATGTACTTCGTCTCTAGATATGATTCACATGTATTATGAAAACGCACGAAAAGTCTCTCAGGATGCTCAACATTTCCTCTTACTCCCTTTCATCTGCGATTATCACCATCCCTATCGCTGTATCACCCAACACGGATTTTATTTGCCGGCGGACGTGCTCGTCGTCCTCGCGGCGACGAGCAAAGCTGAGATAGACAACAGAGGAGAGGTGAAGCGAAGCAAGGCGAGGCGAGGCGAGAAAGAAACGCGCACACGCGTACCTACACTTACACATTTGACGAGATAGAGAGAGTGAAAGAGAAAGGAAGATATAGTATGTGTATATGTTTTGTGTGTGTGTGTGTGTGTGTGTGTGTGTGTGTGTATGTGTGAGAGAGAGAGGGGGGGAGGGAGAACAAGAGAGATAACGTGAGAAAGAGACAGAGAGAGAAAAGAAAGAGATCCACTCGTAGGAAATGTGCTTACGGCACGAAGTCGCGCGCTCCACTGAGCTATCAGCGGGCATGCGTCCGCGTAGTAACCGGTAGCCCGCTACGAGCTTTCCCTGTCGTTTTTCCAACCCCCGCGCGTCTTCACGGCACGGCCACCTCTTCCGAGAGCGGCCGCCGCCGCCGCCGCCGCCACCGCCACCACCGTCACCATCACCACCACCAGCACCAGCAGCACCACCATCGCCGGTCGCCCCCGCGCTTGGAACCCGTTCTCTCGCACCCGCCGGAGCGTGCGCGCGCGCTCACCTGCGTGCGGGATGCAACAGATGCACCGGACATGAATCCTCGACCCAGGGTGCGGTGCATGTATGGTATGCAGTTACGGAACAGTCGCGTATGTACAGACCCATTACACAATCGAACGTAACGAAGAATAGAAAAAAAGATAAAAGAGAGACCGGAACATATATCGATTTATCGTGCTGGGTTATCTTTAGAAGATAGCACCATTAGAAAATCGCACCTTTGTTCGTATTGTATGTTAAAGAATGATTTTGTTTCTTCTTGGGAAAACAGCTAGCGCAGCTAAACGTAGACAATTTTTATGCATTATTATTTACAGAAAGATTTTTAATATATTTGATATTTTATCACGCGCGCGCGCGTGTGTGTGTGTGTGTGTGTGTGTAATATATATTATGATGTAAATTAAAATTTACTAAAGTGCATTGATTTCTCATATAATATATTGTATTATATTATACAACGCACAATTATACAATTTACTCTGTAATAAATAATATTGCGCCATCATTATTTGTTAAATATAACTTGCTCATCAATAACGATTTTATTATCGAAAATCGTTATCGATGACCAGATAATATTTAATAAATAATAAGGCTTTTGTGAAGTATTACTTACTGCAATAAATTATGTATGTTTAATTGCGCATTATAAATAAATTATACTAATAGAATTTTATTTTTGTTATTTTTCAAGATTACCTCTTTTGATATAAAACTAAATCTAAATAAATTGAAGAATTTTATATCATTATGCACACACATTTTCTAATTGTACACATGGAGTTTCTCATTGACATATATCTTGTTAGACTTTTTGCTCTTTGGAAAATCGATGATGTGAGATGCAACAGTTACAACGTCATAATATAGATACATTAATTATAAGGTCATAATACACTGATGTAATCTATCTATAAATGGATAGTAAAGAAACAGCACATAATACAACACATGATACATAATACAATACAACCCTCTCTTAGAAACTAGGCCAACTTAAAGAGTATCCACTTCTATATTATATCTCACAAACATCAAGATAATGTGTAGTAATAATTTCAATAAAAATACTGGCAAATTTAAAAAGTATTACAATATTTTTAATTATTAGAAATAACGCCAATTAAAAATTTTGTTTTCGCTTTTTGTCTAGTAGTTCTTATTTAATGAAGAAAAAACAACAAACAAAATTTTCCGATCTGGTATTAAAAAATAATTAAATCAATTTATTATAATTAAATACATTTTTTATATTTTAATACATAATGCGATTTCTTTTGAAGTCATTTGTTAAAAAAGTTAATTGGTTAAAGAACAAAGCATTAAAAGATGACTGAGAAAGTGTTCTGTATAATATCATAAATTCAATTGAAGCAATTAAAATAGTTGTAACTCAGGCGGTAGACAATTCTGATGCATAAAAGAAAATTCTGTGTTGCATTTTGAATCCTTAAAAAAGCTAATTGAGACCCTTATTTTGTATCTGTATCTCTTAATGACAGTCTTTGTGTGATCGTTACATTATTATTAAAAGTTACAGAATATAAGGAGCATTAATCAGCTTTTTTAAGAATTCAAAATGCAACACATTAGAGTTTTTTTTATTTATATAGCGTACCTATATTTATATAAAAAAAAGTATTTACAAACTAATTTGCTCGTGAAATTTCCATATCAATTAATAGATTAAGATAGTTATTTTATGTTAATAATTTGATTTTATGACACAGTGACTTTATTATCATAAAATCCTTGATCGATATACGTGGATTCTATGATAATATCTAACAAATCATATTTATTTATATGAATTTGATTCTGAAATAATATGTATCACAATCATGCAAATTAATTTCCATTGCATTTATCGTCAAGGATAATTTAATTAAGACTTTATATATGGTTGATCGTCGATAAAATCAAAATAACCATGTGCGAGTATTAATTAAAACATAAATATAAATTAAAGCACGCACATACCTTATATCAATCAAAGATAAATCTGAGAATAAATGTGTTGCATTTTAAATTTAATCCATTTCGAAATTAATTTACATAACACGTGAAATAAAATTGAAACTATTTTACTCACGGATGTGTTACCCGTGGAATATATTATAGATAGGATTTTATATATACATACATATAGGGGAAGGATTTTATATATGCATACATACAGGGTATCCGATAAGTTTTGACAAAACGCTCATGTGTAGAACGGATTAAACTGAGTCAAAAAGTTCTCTACCATTTTGCAATTTTCGCAGTAGTTAACAATTTTTGTCTCTTGCAGTTTTTTTTTGTAAAGTTAATAGTATTTGAGAAAAAAATTATTGAAGATCAATATTCGACAATTTTTAGTAATTAATATCTTGTTAACAAGCACGCAAATGTACTCCTAACAATATAAATGCTGGAAAAATGAATACTTATATTGGGTCATCTAAAAAGTATCCGCGGTACTTTGTCTAGATATATGACCATCAACACACATCTAGTGACAAAAAACCGCGGATACTTTTTAGATGACCCAATATATTAATAAATTCTTATCAAACAATTATTTATTAATAATGAATTGCTTTTTATACATATTCAATTTCAATAATCTTATATTTAACGTATATATGCAGACAAACAGTAATGCAGCTCAATATTTCTGAAATGGTTAATTCCCACTCTACTATTTTTCCGAGATTCCGTTTTCGACTGTCATGAGATCCTGAGACTCTCTAGTTACATCCATTTTCTAACCATATCGATAAAATCATAGCACAAAGAACATCAAAAATAGATGTGATTCGAGAGATATACTATTTTCCAACGCCGATAAAATTGTATTCTACGTATATGTATTAAGGTGCTTCTCTGCGTATATGTATTAAGGTGCATTTACATACAAGCGTCAAGAAGTGAAAGCAGCAATCAATCAACCGAATGATACGAGCAGTGGTGTAAAAAATATTTTTTACGCCATAGTAAAAATCGTCTCGTTGATTGGTTGCTGCTTCCGCTGCTTGAAGCTTGCATGTGAATGCACCTTTAGGGTCATAGCATACAAAAAATGTAAGCAATAAAACGTAAGCAGTAAGTGAATTGACCAATCACAGTAGAGTTCGTAAGGTCATAACATGAGCAATATGCATGATCTACAATGAGCAGTAACAGTAATGGTTAAGACTGTAAGAGTAAGAAATTGACCAATCACAGTCGATTATTCTTTTCACATTCAATTGTGATTGGTCAATTTCTTACTCTTACAGTCTCATCCATTGTGCTATCAGTGCCAGCATTGTAGCCAATACAGTGGCAAAATTCTAATTCAGCTAGCAATCCAGTAGGAAAACAAGCATCGTGTGCCGCAGGTTTTAAATCTAACGAAGAACTAAAGGCGAGAACCAATCATATTAAAGAATCACTAAACACTAACTGATTAGTTTTCTACTGAACGCAGCCATTGAAAGATTTTTATAGGAATTAAGATGTAGTCTCACCAACTCCGATTAAACGATCGATCGATTAAGTGTCAACCATGATTGGTCAATTTTGCTGAACAGCAAATGCGATTGGTCAATTGATTAAGTTAATCAGAGTTGGTGAGATTGGCCCTAAGCGCATTTTGATGAAATGGAATAATTAGGCCACAATTAGGATAAGTGTTTCAATTGTAACTTGTAATAATGTATTATTCCGTATGTCTTATTAACATGCACCTTATCTTACCTTATATTGGGTCATCTAAAAAGTATCCGCGGTTTTTTGTCACCAGATGTGTGTTGATGGTCATCTAGTGACAAAGTACTGCGGATACTTTTTAGATGACCCAATATTTCTCGACACTATGATTTTTTTTGATAAAATAGATGCAGTATACATTTAAGTCTTAATCCAATTTATACTGACAATGCTCATAAGCATTGTTTGTCTTCGTTTAATATTTGACAAATAACAAGGCTGAAATGATTTTTAAGCATTGTAAACGTGAATCGGACCGCGGTCTTAAAGCTAGTCACATACACACTTTCCGTAACAGTAATCGTAAACGTAACGCAAGTTTTCGACCAATTGCGTTGCTCGATTTGGTTGTTTGTAACCGTAACCGTAATGGGTGGTCCATAATGGGCAGTAGCAGTAGTGAATGAAGGAGTAGATGTAGAAATCGATCGAATCATAGTTGAATATGAGAAAAATAATCAACTATGATTGGTCGATTTCTATGCCTACTCTTTAATCAACTATTGTTACTGCCTATTGTAGACTATGCATTATAATTGAGCAATGTGATTGGTCGAAAACTTAGTTACTGTTACGAAAAGTGTGTGTGACAAGCTTAATTTGTAGTTTTCATATCATTAAAATGGACGTTCATGAGCTGGTTTATGGAATTCTAATGGCCTCACGAAAAAGGTTGAGTAATTTGCTGTCTAGCTTCTGTCTACCGTCGGTGATGCAGTGAAACGTTTACTTGCCGGAATATCGAAGTATCTATCCTTTCATATTCTTTCACATATTTAGCGGACGAAGTGTCGTGTGTTTGGCTTTTTGCATCTGAATTAAAAATTTTTATCGAACAAATTATACGGTAAATACAAGAATAAATTATTTTGTTCTTAAGA